AGTTGAAAGCTAAGGGGAGAAAAGGTGCCACTCACTATCGCAACTTGGGGAGGGGGGAAATCTGAACCAATCAAGTTGCTTAGTTCATCTGAATTTTACCTCAGAATAAAAATGATACATGAGTATTATTGCTGATCTATTAAAATCAAGTGAATTGTATAAATTTAGCACATTACCGATAGAGGACTACAACTGCTCCTATCAGGCTGTTTTTCCCAATGTTCAATCCTACGAAATATGATCTTGTTTTCAAATAATCTAGGTCTATTCAAAAGCAGCCATCTAAAATCTTGGGTAATTTGAAAATAATGGTTGATTTTGTTGTGATATTTAGACTCTTGCAGTTTTAAATTAGCACAATTGTGGTGTGTTCCTCCTCTCCTCCCTCTCAGTGTGAACCTGTATCCAAAAAACATTTTAGGTCAGTCAGGTAACTCCCAGCATGTGGGTTGCACAAACTGGAGAACCAATTCACACACATTGCTTTCTCATTTGTGAAACTAGACCAAAATACACTTGCAGCAGTACTCATATAGCACAATATCTTTTAGAAAGCACTGTAGCAAAAACAGGTCATACAGATGCACATGTTACTATGATAAAATGTGACTGGGACCCAAAGATCTGCTTCCACATATGGAAATCTGCTTTCCAAGTTTAGGTTGTTTTCCTCATTAGGAAAACCAGGCCACCTTCTTAGATGCATAGCACATATGGATACACAAGCACTGAGAAAGTTATGAAGCTATAAGCAGAGTTAGCTAAACTGTGCAAAATATCACTTGAACAAATCAAAGTGCAACTACACAGGCTGCATCTGATCTTTCATCAACAGTTCCTTGGATCCTGGCCTGCATGCTATAACTTCTTATCACTGCACAAGTTCTTCCAAAAAATATTCATTTTAAAAAGCATCAGAAGCTCTATAATATAAAACTTGCAAAGTCCTTTTTGGATGCAACAAGAAAATATGTTTTATTATTGCGCAAACAAGCTTCAGGTTACTGTGCTCCCATCTCCAATTTTGGTGTAGAAGTTTGGTTCAGAAACTTTTGTTTTAAAACTAATCAGTGCTCTCTGTTATGTTTGAACTCAGAGGAACGCTGATTATTTTATACTTTGGTTTGGTTAAACAAGCCAGGATCAAACCAGTCTGCCACTCTTATTTTCTAAGTCAGCCTTCCTCAACCTGGTGCTCTCCAAATGTGCTGGCTGTGACTGATGCAACTTGTAGTCCAAAATTATCTGAAGGGCAGCAGGTTAAAGAAGGCTGCTCTGTATCCAAATATCCACTGCAAATGCAAATCTCAACTGAATAACTAAATAAGCCAGTTTTATAGGAAAAAGCTAAATCAAAATTCATACCTCCTCCAGGTCAGCTTCGTAATCTGTGAAACCACCACCAATGTTCAACAGGTTCATGGTAAAGCCAAATTCTTCCTAAAATAAAAATGCAGAAAGTTTACTATCTACAAGGTATTAGGTGCCCTTTTTGTTTTGTAATATAGACTCTTAAAACATTGAGCTCTTTTAAAACAAGGTGATTTATTTGTTACCTTTTAAACGATTATATGGTAAATGGCAACTCAACTAATTTTCATATATTATGTCAAAAACAAATGGCAAACTATCTACAATTGTGTGATGGAATTAAGTAAAGTTCTACCTTGGTTCTCGAACAGAATCTGTTCCGGAAGTCGTTTGACTTCCAAAAACGTTAGAAAACCAAGGCTCGGTTTTTGATTGGCTGCAGGAGCTTCCTGCACTCAAGTGGAAGCCGTGTCGGACGTTCGGCTTCTGAAAAACGTTCGAAAACCTGAACACTTATTTCCGGGTTTTCGGCGTTCGGGAGTTGATTTGTTTGTCAACTAAGCCGTTTGAGAACCAATTTTTCACTGTACTGAACATATTCAACATGTGAACTTAAGTGTATACAAGTCCAATAATTCACTTACAGCCATATCAAATACACAGCGAGCATCAGAAATAGCATGTTTGTATACTTGAATTTCCTTGCAAGAGCTTGACACATGAAATCTGAAACAAACAAAAAACAAAGACTAACTTTAGCTTAAAAACCCCCTGCAGATTCTATGTGATTTACTCTGGCTTGACAAACTCACAAAGTTTGCAATAAATTTGCTTCACAATTCTCTCAATGGCTCTCTGCACTTATTGAAGCCTAGACCATAAACATGATGACATTTACCCAGCCAATCAAATCTGTCTGTGTTCCATGCTAAGCATACTTAGAAGAAGCTTCCACTGAAAGCAACAGGGTTTCTTGCTAATAAATATGGGACTTATACAAAGGGTAAACAAGAAGATGGAGTACAGTATTAGCAAAAGAGATCTCTCTACATTACTGAAATATCATTCAGCATTGAAGTTCTACTCCCAATCCTCACTATAGTTTTTTGCCCAAAATTATTATTTATTTATTAGTATTTATTGAATTTATATACCACCCTGTACCCGGAGGTATATTGACACTTGAGGCAGGAGACCTCTGTTTAATCATCTTCCTGGAATTAGATGCTATGGGTGTCTAATATTTGCTACTAGGGATGTGGCGTTATATAGTTGAGACTATGGGAAAGCTGTAGAGAATTGCTTTGCTCTGAATATTGTGTTGCCTTTCATACATGTATTTCTAAACGTTTACCTTTTGTTTGAAATGGGTTTGTCCTATCAAGCCTTGCATGTTAAATGACTTTCATCTGCCATATGTATTCAAATTAGGTGGCCCCCTTTAGGAACTAATTTACAGCCTTAAACTGAAAAGGTCAATTTTATCACACAGGAAATGTATGTAATGTACACCATATATAGGACAAACTTTTAAAAAATTTTCTAGAGGTCTGGGAACTAATATCCCTGAAGAGTTCAGTTTCTTTCTCTCTCTGGTATTAATACTTCCCATATTCTCTTCCAAAATATTTGGGTGCACAGAAACAAGACACTGTATTATATAGCATTTTACTAATATGTATGAGATATAATTGGAAGCATAGTTATGAAACACTGTGGCTACTTTTGTAGACATTCAGGATACCTTCCTAACATGAACATTTCAACATTAGTGACCGCATATACCATTCAAGTCCACTGCTTTCCTCTTTCACATTGAAAAGAGCAGCAATGTGAAGGGAAGATGAGGGAGAAAGGACATGATTACTTACTTAACACCAACTATTTGGACATTCAGCTCCTTAGCACATTCCATGAGGTGCCGACAGTTCTTCAGGGTGGTGCCAAACTTCATGTTCATCTCTTCCTCTCCATTAATGTCTTCTGTGGCAATATGAAGCAAGAGCCTAAGAGAAGGGGAAGATGATTGGGGCACAGTTGGTTTACAGCAGCATCAGCACATGTGAAGCCTGAAGACTGTCAGAAGTATGTTGATTATGTTGCCAATACTCCAGTTCCACCGATGGACGAGTCAAGGGAACCTAATAAAAATAATCCTGTACAGAGAGAAAACTAGCAATTAGGGCCTAAATATGGAGTCAAAAAGGATAAGTGGTTTGGAAATGCAGCAGCTAATAACTGCTGTAGCAGAAAACCTGTTGACTGCTGTAATAAAAATACATTACCTTGGATGTAATCATGGCTGTCATAAAGCTGCTCAGTGACAACTTCTTGCAAAATGTGCTGAATATGGTTCAGTTCACATGTAACACTAAGTCAAACCATAGCCCCTGGAGAGACAGTTACAGCTGCTCCTTCTCCAGTCTTACTGCACTGCTGCAAGCTGAAGTGTGGTTTGGTGCAGCATGCCATCCACACTCAGGCTCATGGTTTGGCTGGAAGAGATGAGCTGTAAACCAAGAACAATCCTTGGTTACAGCCTGTGGTTTGTCTGGGACGAGACAAATCATGAACCACTATTCAGACAACATACTAAGACAAACCACAGCTTAGCTTCATAGCAGGAGCAAAGCAGCAAAGCAGCAGCAACTGTCTCTACAGGGGCCCATGCAGTCACAGCAAGCTATGGTTCAGCTTACCTTTACATGCAAGCCACCTCCAATGACTGGGTTTTGAATACTGTTTGCTTGATAAAATATGGCTGATTTGAAATAGAAGGCATCCCAGATTTCCCCTCCCACTGGGTACTTTTTTGAAGTATTAATTCCAGTTTTATTAGCTTCACTGCTTGCTTCTTCCTGTAGTAGTAGCAGCAGCCAGAACAGGCTGGTGGGCAGCATTTCATTTGAAGGTAACAGGACTTACACCCTTACAAGAAACTGGAACTTAACTTGATGACTGAGAGCATAATGAGTCCTTGGTTTCTAGAAAGATGGGTCGTTTCTTGCAAACCTGAGCATCAATTAGCTGCTAATATTAATCAAAAGAGATACAGCCATTAATTTCACTCTAAATGTCTGTAACATCCTTAGGGCCAAGTCTACCAAACCTTACTTTGGGAGCTGGATGCATTAATAGCCTTGCAAACGTCATACTCCACAAATGACTGTGTTAGTCCTCTGCTGATTCAGTTAACAGAAGTGACTGCATGGTCAATGCTGGGTATCGGAACGAGTGGGAAGCTAACATCTTTATATTTTCCAAGTGTGTATTATATTGCCCCAAAATAAGGTCCACAGCACTCATGCAGATCTGTCCTTAAAAACATGCAACTGAAGCACTATATATTATCCTTTTTCTTAAGGATCAATATACCTGATGATAAAAGTTTGGATCATAATATGCATTAGTAGTGTAGGAGCATATAACATCTATATGACATTCTTGAACGCATGGCAATCACTGCCCTATTACAAGAATAACAAGAACTTTTTTACCCAAAGATTGACAATGAGGAAGGAGGTGCCGAATTGCATGACACATTTACTGGATGAACTCTTCTCTCAAGGCCCAGGAAGTCTGCCAGAATATTAAATTATTGAAACAATCTAGAGATTGACATGCAGCCTTCATATTCTATTATTTCAAAGGGGCATGTACTTACCCACTAACTGCCTTATCTGTTTTAGATAATCCACCGCCATACATTTGTTCCTCCTTCATGCTGATGCTACCCCAAGTAAACTAGAAGAAAACTTGATGTGCACTTCTGGTGCAGCACCACAGTTCTGGCACGCAGCATATAGCAGCCTGTTCCAGATTTGTACTTGATTTCCCCCCCTGAAACATTCTGGACCAGCTCAAGGGATCTTGAGACAATTCTCACAGATGGTGATCTGAACAAACATGTGATACATTTCATCATGATGCCAGAGTCCCAAGCAGAGAATGGTGTGTGTAAATACATAGATATATTCATGTTTTAATATCACCAGCCCACATAACCCTGGCAGGAGGTGCTTCTGAGTCAAAAGAAGTTTTAAGGTATCTTGATAAAGCAATTTCAGGGTAAATTAGTAGAATCTTCAAAAGCAACAGCTTAAAACTATGTTGTCAAACACACCTAACTAGTATTTGGGTCATCAAGGTATACACTCAAGTTTTAAAGAGTTGCATGTTAGAACAGCCAAGGGAGACTTCTCTGCAAAAGTATTTCAGAAGGTTATCCCTTTAGAGATAATTCATTATAAGCATATATTAAATTTAATTCAGTGGGCTCTAGTTCATGAAAGCTTATGCCATAGTACAATTTGTTCATCTTCTAAGGTGCCACAATAATGTTTTAAAATTGTATACTGTAATCCCAACTTCCCACAATGGTAAGTAAAATGAAAACATTTCTGTATACTTACTTTGCATTCGGATGGTTCCTAGCAATTTTCTTTAATTCAAGTTCACTGTCACATGTCAAAATGTTTACTCCAATTTTCGCTGCATATTTTATCTGAGAAGCTTGCTTGCAAGGATTTGTGAATATAATGTTTTCAGGAGAAATGCCCAGGTCTTGAACCAATGCCATTTCAGTCTGAAAAAAAACAAACATTTGAACAAGGTTAGAGGCAAATAAAGGTTGCGAAGAAGATTTAGAGTATATAAAGTTGGAATTTTTAAAAATCACAATAGTGGTATTAAAAGGGGAGGAAAGAAAGTAATACCTAATGCAAGACTTGTTATCCAAAGTTACTTAGTTTAAGTTTGCAAGCTGCCCTATCCCAAAGGCTAAGAAAATTCTACCTTAAGTTGTTTATCTCTAGAAACTCAAAGCCAGCTCTCTGTGTGTGGTTGTGTGTGTGTGAGAGAGAGAGGGGGGGGGGCTTACAAAGTTTTGAAAGTTTCTAATGCTTGGAGCTCTGGAGCTGTCCTACATGTACATAATGTCCAAACAAGCTATGCAAGTTACGCTAATAAAACACGTCATTCTTAGTTGTTCTTAAGACATCACAATGGTATTTTGGATTCTTTTTATTTACTCCAGTCATGAGGGCATCGAGGTTGGGTACAAAAATCTCAATATGTGGAAGGTTCATAGGCTGGAGAGGAACCACAGTTCAGAGGTGGAGCCCATGCTTTCCACAAAGGTCCCAAGTTTAATCCCTGGCATCTCAAGTTACAAAGAGACCTTGGAGAGCTACTGTCAGTCAAAGCAGACAATGGGCTAACTGGAGAAAGTCTGGCATAGTATGTGGTAGCTTTCTATGGTCCTAAATAATATAATATGTTTGCGGTATCACATACCTCTGCATAGCAATGATACGGTCAAGAATGCATTCCATATCTCCCCCCCCAAAAAAAAATATATTAAGATGTTTAAATTCCAACTTAAACACATCCAGGGTGGTTTACAGAAGCTTTAGAATATTAAACCCAATACAGCACTAGAATAAAATAAGACACCAAATGAAACAGACAACAGCACAAGCATTAAGAATAAAAAGGCCAGGCCCAGCCACTGAATGTACCAGAGAATACAATTGTCTTCATAAAACTGGGAAGATGAGCTGGCTCCAGCCACCGGCCTGAGAATGAACTGCAGGGAGTTTGCTCACCCCTTATCTTCTGTAATGAACACTCTGCTCCAAATGCTAGTTGGCCTACAATCACAGCAGTGAGGGGAAGGTCATTCTAACCTTTGAAACCAGCCAGCAGAATGTTCCTGGATTGGTTGTTTTATTGCTCTAATCTGTTGTAAGCCACTTTAAGAATATAAACACACACAGACATATGAACTAGCTTCCATCATGCCTAGGAGGTGGGTACTCCATAAACAGGATCACCACCAGGGCTATTTCTAGTTAACAACCTCCAAAGCTCTGGCAGCAGAGGCACATGAAGTGGAACCTCCAAAACTGTTCTTAAGGAGTGAACAAGCTCTTATATGCATCCTCTACTAGAGGTTTAGGGTTTAGAACACCCTACCCTAATGTGGTCGCCTCCATGTTTTGGACTACAGCTTCTACCAGCATGGCTGTACTGGCTGAGGGGAGCTGTAGTCTAAAACCTATGCAGGGCACCAGGTTGGAGAAGAGTTGTTTAGGTAAGATGTCAAATACTTACTTTGCTTGAACATGCAAACCCAGTTCCAAGAGCTGCCATTATCTCAAGTACACCTACAGTGGAGTTACATTTTACATTGTAAAATGGCTTTACTGGTGCCATCACATTCTGCCAGTGGATGTGCTGCTTAATCAACTTTCCCAGATCACCAACAAAAAAAGTATTGTTTCCAGTCTAGGGAGAAAAGGAAAAACAGTGAATCTACAATTAAAGACTAACTACAAAGATTTACAGTAAGTAGCTGGCAATCATAGGGGGCATTTTCCGTTTTGTTAATTTTTATCCCAGACATTTTGCCTCCACTTTCCCTGGGCATACTATGAAAATGTAACCTTGTTTTTGAACTTTATTTGTGGTTGAAATGCCTCTAAATCTGAAAATCGGCAGTACAATGTCTGAGCCAGGTAAGGCTGTGCAAGTTCTGAACCAGTGTCTAGAGATGCAGCAGTGGCCTGGATAAGGGCCTAGAATCCTGGCAGGACTGAAGCTCTATGGCTGTGCCATTTCAATGTCTAGGAGAAAGGCCAGTTTCCTGCTTTGGATGGAGCTGCACTCACCCTAAAGGAGCAGCTATGCAGAGTGGAGGTACTCCTAAGTCCAACTTTGTCATCTGAGGCACAGATAAACCTCAGTGGCTAGGAGTGCATTTACCAGCTGCAACGGTTCCTGCATAAATTAACTGTGATGGTTCAAGCAATGGTAACATCAAGGATAGACTACTGTAATGCACTCTATGTTGAGCTACCCTTGAAGGTGGTGCAAAATTCTAAATGTAATACCTGTGTTAAGGGAGCCTCTTGGGCTGCCAGTATGTTACCAAGCTACAAATTCTTGCTATTAATCTATAAAGACAGACATAACCTGGTGTCCTTAAAAGGCTGCTTTATTCCCTACACCCCTGCCTGATCTTTGTGATCTGTCACTCAGACAAGTCTGACAATTGTGCATTTCATATGGTGGTAATGGGGCTAAGGAACTCATCTAATGAAATCAAGCAAGTATATGTCATAGGTTTTAGGCACCATCTTAACATCACTATTTTAACCTAGCCTTCTCATCAAAATGATTGTTTTTTTTGTGATTTTTTTTCTAGATGACCCATTCTTTACTTCTGTTTCTTTAATTTATTTTACTTCAATGTTACTCTTGTGTTTTTTGCTTTTAACTGAAGTCCTGTATAACTGCATGGATTTATTTTTCGAGTTTGCAATATAAAAAATAAAATAAAAATACTGAAAATGGAACACTTACAACAGTATGTTCATAAATGCAGTTGTCAATGACATCTCCAACATTTACTCCTTCATCCAGTAAGCCAATGGAGTAGTTTGCATCCTCAAGAAATCCTTTCATCTCAGCCGTATTCCGCAAAGCCGACAGTCATAAACCAAGAAACACAAGGGATGGGCCACAAAGCCTTAGATCCGGGTCCTTAAGCTATGCAACAAACTGTTTGACAGAGAAGACAATGAAAAAAATTACCATCGCAGCATAGCCTTTTAGAAAGCTTTCATTTCTCCTTCCCCACCCATGCTCTCTCAGGGGGCTATCAATAGTGTAAATATGCTGCTTATTTAAATTTGAAAGCAAAACAACAAAGCTAGGTATTCAGCAAAATTGGATTATAAATTGGGTGGGCAGCCTGCAGCCCTTCGACTATTTTCATGCAAGGAGCCCAGAGGGAAAAGGGGGGAAACACTGAGGGGGCAGGGAGAGGGCAACAAACAGGAGAAACAGAGAGGTAGGGACAGAAAAGGGATGAACCCCCGCCACCCACTTTTGGCTCTATCCCCACCCATTGCTGTCAACAGATTACCACTGAGGGAATGCTGCCTTCTACAGAAAAGAAGTTCCCTGCCCCTAGCAAATTAGCACCCCATGTGCTAGTTTTCCACTGCAAAAAGCCTTTTGTGATTTAAAAAAATGTATTCATTATCTGTGGGAAGCAGTAGGCATACAGAAAGACATTTTGCCAAACCTTTACTTTTACATTAACTTTTCTCCTTAATAATCTCAAACATTAAGAGGTCAGAGCCACTTTTAAAATACTAAAGCCATTTAGTGGGGAGGGGGGATCATTTAATTACGGAGTAGGCTAGCATGCAAAATAAATGTACCAATGTAATATTGACATGTTATCCAATAATAATTCAATTAAACAATGAACGCATGTTTACTTAGCATGCAAAATAGTTATTTGAAGTTCTTCAAGTGTTTGATGCGCGCACGCACACAAACCCCTTAAAACTCCAAAGTTGAAGGAATGGGGGATGGGAAGTAAGAGAAACATTTCTCCAGACTTTTCTGGTCTGCTGGCTAAAGAACAACTCTCCAATTAGTCTACTCCAGTTCTCTCATTTGGTTACACCTATGTGTCACGTGTCTTCCAAAAGGGTGTTGGGGAAACGTGCACACCAGGCAGGTTTTGTGAAGAACTGCCTGTCCCAGAGAGCTATGCTGACAAGAGTAAGGTAGGTTTTAGTCCCAGAGGCAAGAGCTCAAGCAGGTTTTTTCCTACAGCTGTCAGCTGAAGGTGGAGACCACTTTTAATAAGAATTTAAAATTATACCCAGACAAACCAATTTTAATTAATACCCTGTTCCTAGTAGGGTCCATTATATTTAATGTCTAATTGACTTTTTCCTCAATAAAACATTTTATAGCACAACTTCAAGGTGCCTATTAGTCAGCTCTCTCACACACGAACAATCTGGGTGTGTCAAGGCTCTTCCAAGTTTAGGCACACCCCAAATGTAAGTATATTTGTGGTAAGCATTTCTATGAAGTTCACTAGTTATGTTTAATCTAAAATATTTGTACACAGCAGAACAAGTCTTATTGCAAAATAAAAGTTTAGAGTGCCTAGGCACTACACAATCATTAAGTAATTAATATAGATCTTCTTCAAATGTAACAGGCAAGTCATAGTTTGGCTACTGAGAATAGTTTTCAGACTCAGTTCTTCCTTCCAGGTCTCAGCAAAGCATAATATGCTGTAATGTCCAAATCAGGTACACTATGTTTGTACAACCCATAGTTGGTCTCTCAAAGTTCAAACAGAAATTTCTCATTCTGATTTGGAAGCCAAACTACAGCTTGCGTAAACCACATTTTGCCTGATTTAAACATCAGAGCAAATTACATTTGCTTCAACTAGAAAAAAAAATGGGAATATGAACATGCAAGGAAGAGGATGATGATGCAAGAAGTAGTATACAAGTTTGAAACCTACAATCTCAATATATCTAAGTCAGGTCAGAGCTAGGCGTCTAGCCAGGCTAGTCAAATAGGCTGATTCAAAACA